CAATTTATGATTCCTGTATTAGTTGTTTCATTTCCTATATTATGATTAATTAGCAACGTGGTCATGTTTGGACATGATAATTAATTTGAGGTATAATTTTATGTTATTTTCTCAAACGTATATTTCTCATCGTTTCTATATGCATGTCAGTGAGACAAGGGCATTAACACATAGGAACCATTTTACACACATAAATATTTAATGTTATCAATTAATATCTGATTACTTAGGCGTTTTGCCCCACATAGTAACATTGCTTGGACCAGTGCTAAAGTTCCAGTGATATTTTTAATAGGAATCATAATCTTATTAGCCTATTTATTATGTTTTGGTTCCAAACGGTTATTATAAATTCATTTTTTTAAAATTATTAAAATGTACAGTAACTACGAAATTTATTAAAGTCTCTTAGTTACTCCTAGATCTGTTTTATATCCTGGTTATTTTTATTGTATTTTATCCTTATTAAATTTTACCAATAGTTTCTATATTATTAACATAAATTTCGACTCCTTTGTACAATGCACTTAGGCCTATTTATAACAAAGTATTTAATATGTAGCGACTGTTTTTGTAAAACACATCTCTGCTGCAATAATTTTGTTTTAAAGTTTTTGAAGAGCCTGTCTGTACGATACGTTTTCTGTCTATCGGTCCCCTAATTCAATTGCATACACAAAACCTACATACAGTAATTTATACATTTTCTCGACTCTATCTTCACAATTAACTTTTATGATCCAACATGGCCACCGTGCGTACTTTTGAGTTGAAGAAAACAGCAAAACCTTTGATATTAGAGTGAGAATTATTCACGGTAGTAGAAAGACATATTAACATATTCGTGTAATATAAAATATTTCATCTAACAAAAAAATACTAGAATGAAAGTTATGCCCTAAGGCAGTAAAGCTGATGTTGCTGTACAGAGATGCAGGCATTTGTATTTGGGCGTATGAACACTAATAATAATTCACATTTGTCAGAACATTATAAACGCAAGAAGTCGGTCATCTGTAAATTAGTTATTTTGTTGACATTCCCTTCTGACATAGGCGGTTTATAAGATGTTTGAAAAGCATTCAACTGTTTCTGAATGTATTTTACAAAAGAGCCAAGTTAACGATACGATGGCTGCGCGAACTATTTTAATGCGAGGACAATCATTGCGAACTGACTTCGGAAATACGTAATGTGAAATGCTACAAAAGCACTGATTAGTGGTTTGGGAAATTACCCTCTCTTACAAGTCGGTATCCTGAAGTACATTAAGTATATAGCAAGTACTTTTTAGTAATCGTTTGTTATTCTGTAAAAGATTTTCACTCTGATCACTGCCACAGTCGTATCTTCACATATACTTTAAGAATTCCGTCTTTATTTCAAATAGTCTGATCGGCAAATTGTTCTCAATGTCCTCCACTTCCTCCCTGCTCCACTGGTATACAGTAATTATAAAATGAAGCATACATACGGAGACAAGACATGCATACAAAAAATTTAACTTTAAAATCTTAAGGTTGAATCTCAATTTTTGACGATGAAAAATTAATATTAAAATGTATATTAAAAATAAAGTGTATGGCTTTTCTGGATTCAAGTAGGTTATGGTAGGGGAAATTGATGTATTTTTGTGACTGATGATGAACTTTGTTTCCGTTAAAATCGGGGAATTTCTTGTCTAGCCGAGTCACTGTAATCTTTTCAAGAAGGTTTAATCCACGGAGTTGTAGCGTTGAAGGTGCATATGAACCCGTTCACCTTCCACGCATCAACGTTTGTTAGTAAGAAGTTGTACCGGTGTGTAGGCAGCATTCTTCTGGTATTGTGTAGGGGTCTGTTTATTGAACAATGACGCTGGAGGTGTGGTCGGAAGCCTGTCTTGCAGGAGGTTCACTAAAAGCGGCCAGCACAGACGAAGTTAGCAGACTGGGGTCAAGGCATGACCTAATAATGGGCAAACTATTAAAGAAAATATATAGAAAATGCTCTAACATTTTTTGACTTTACGCAGTCCTGATAACAAAATAATATTCTTCATTGACATATATTTCACCCTTATTCAAAATCATTATTGTTGATAATAATTGTACGCATGGACATAGGTGTTACTTTAGTTTATGTATAAAATATATATATATATAGGTGGTTAAAGCGCTGGTTTTGTTTTCTGGGTATTCCGGGTTCAAACCTCGGCCTGGTGACTAGGTATCTCGACATGATTATTTTAGTCGATCGAGAAAATTATGATATAGTATCGCAAAATAGTCTATTCTGCTTACTTCCACATTTTTTCAGTTTATAATTAGAAGCCAATGCATAGATAATTATAGCTTGAAAACGTCATGGGAAGAGACCACGTGGTATATAGGCTTATGTGGGAGAATAATATTAAAATTGTCAGTGTATGGATTGAAATTATCTGGCGTAGTATAGTCAAATTACTGTTTCTATGAACACAGTATTTTACATTCGATTATCTTAAAAACGTGGAATTTCTTTACTAAGAGGTTTGCTTTGTATTAGCGAGCCAGGAGACCGACCGATCGATGTTTTTCTTGGGAGTTCCTCAGTTCCTCCAGACAAATTCCGGGGTAGTACCTTATATTGTACCGAGATCGTCTTTATCTTCGACTATTATTCCTATCATGTGAGATTATTCGTGGTGCTATTAGAATTGACGTAACTTCTAGTCTCCATACATCTTGAACTTGTTGTGAAAAGATGATATGTTTATATTTATTTATATCTTCCATGGAGGTATTTTGCACGTTGCTACTTGAGCTTATGAATGAAAAACTCGCCTAAATAATATTTAAAATTTCAGTCCTTACCGCAAAGGAAAAAAAAAACATCTCAATTACAAACATTAATTAGCCAATACTGCTTAAAGAAATAATCGCTGTTTAGTCTGAGGATCTCATGACACCGCAAATACAACGAGTTGACAAAATGTACAGTATTGTTTCTTAAAGCAGGTGATAACAGACTGGCTTTAATGATGTGTAATTTAAATGGTGAGAATTAACAAGCGTTTCAGGGTGAAGATGGCTGCTACAATGTTTGCCGAAACGTTTGATAATCCACCAATAGACGCTGCCTGAACTGGAAACGCGAAAACAAACTAATGGATTAAAGAGTTAATGTGATTGTTACGTCAACCAGACGCAGGTCTACCTAATTCTCTTGCTGTACTTCAGTATTTGGCCAGGTCATGATTGTTCCGTCGAAATCGGTCAACTGTCCTGCCCCATCATCTATACAGAATGACCGACAAAGTTACTACAGGGGTAAGGACGAAATGAATCACAAAATAATCGGTCCGCGTGTCTTGACACCGTTCCCATCCGAGATACGAGGCATGAAACTCGATACCTCGATACGTGCTAGAGCGCAAGTGTCGATTTTTATTCAATGCTACAAAAGGGCAGGTCTCAGTTAAAACGACCTTGACACGTTCTGTTTCTGTCGTCAGTGCGAAGAAATCGCTGTTGTCCTCTGCACGCAGAGAAGACTGTTAATCTGAACAAGCTCTTACTAATTCGGTACAACAGTTGTGTCTCAGAAATATATGGATATTTACGTTCATAAAACTGAAATAACATATTTCGCACTAAGACCAGTACTACGGACGTTTATTATTGTCAGTGATTTTTAAATTTTGCGTTCTGAATGTGTAAGATCTTGATTTTTGTTAGATAGCAAACTGAATTTTCATTTTCATGTTGATTTTGTATATTTTCAAGCACTAAGGATTTAGGATTTATTCATGATATCACTTTAGTTTGCTCTCTTTAAGAGAGTCTGTTTTATTAATGTTTTAATTAGGTCAAAGCTAGAATATGCATCTCTCACTCGAATAATCTTACATTCACTGATTCTAGTAAAAAAAAATGTGAGGAAATTTCGACAATTATATTTAATTCAGTGCGTTTAATTACATACATATGATACAATTCTGAATTGTTTAAAAATTAGACCATTTTATTCAATACGACGGCATTTCAAGGTAAAAATAAATTGTGGTCTTGACATTTGTGTGTCTTAAATCTCATATTAAGTTGATTTTCTACTTTCAGCGTGGGTAGTCAAATAACATATCCCAATTTTGACACATTTTTTTTTTACATTCTATAATTTATCTACGCAAAACAACAATTAGAATTTATGCATCATAACTATTCTTTTCCTTCCAATTGTTGCATCCTCTAAAGTACCCAGATTCGAAATAAAACGATTAATATTTGGTATTACTCCTTTTGACTGAGATTGTTCAATTTCGAAGCCTCTGCCTACAGGGAGACACGCTAACATAAGTCCATACCCTAAGAGGGATTAAAATATGAACCACGACGCTTAAAGTGTCCGAGATAATATGAATCTTCAATTAATTATAAGTGAACCGAAAATTGTGATAAATAAATTTTGGTTCAGATCAGAGTTTAAAACGCACTTTCATAGGTCCTCGCTCCTTTCGGGAAGCCGAGAGGGGAAGGAGATTGTTAAAAAACAAATGACTACGAAACCCACGCCACAGGAATGCTATTTCCTGTATGGATGACGATATAAGAAGACACGAGACCTAATTTGTTTAGCCTGGAAACCGTCCCGGATTATTTTATTGTCAAGTAACCATGACCGAGAACCTAGTGACAAATATTTTATCTCGTATGGCCTGCATTTAAAATCAAAACTTAGTCTCAACACAAATCACGAACCGTGTAATATAATTACATCGAGGAAAAGGTGTGTTATGGAAGTTAATTTCGTCTGGCTTCCCACAATAGTAATCACCCTCCTTGCCTTCTAATCTGGAACGTCCGTGCACGGTGGCTTTTCGCTGCTGCTGAAATAAGGATAATTTGTTTTCTCATTGCACGCTCCAAAACCTTCGGTTGTTTTCCCTCTCTCCACCCCCACTTCATGTTCAGTTCAATTTCAGGTGGTAATAAAACGTTGGTGACCATCTTGAGTGACATTAGTCTCTCAGTACCGTGTACCAGGACAAGTCTGTGGCATTGCTAGAAGAACGAGAGACCAGAGATGATTAGGAAACTCCTGGAATTTGTGCCAATGCTAATCATTTTGGCTATTCTGTGCCAGCAAAGTGTTGCTTCATCTCCAACAGAAAGTTCTGTGAGTGCTAGGGGAGTTGAGTCTTCAGATCAAGGATTAATATCTGGTATAAAAGTGTTGTACAAAACCTATCAACAGTGCGAGAGACAAGAGGATATGTTTGCATGTCTTAAATTGAAAGCTTTAAAATTTGCCGACCGCGCACTGAAAGTGAAGTCAATACCACTCTTGGACGGCATGGAACTTGTGGAAAAAGATGATGAAGAGGACGGTCGTCAGCTGAATGAACCGTTGGTGGAAATAGATGAAGAAAATCTGCCCACAGATCCAGGGAAAAGGCAGGAGACTTTGGATGACTTGTTAATCGATCGACTATCGAGGTTCCTCAGGAGTCATACTCTCCAGTTGAGCGTTCCCAAGTTTATCAGTGCCCTGGACGACAATGCTGGAGACAATATGTTAGAGGAAGGTGAGT